CATATATACTTTATTATGGTATAGTATCTAAATACAATATATACCTGAGAAACACATAATATTGGCCCTTTAAGAAATGGATGAAAAATTAAATCCGGTGTAGTACACTTTCACTCAGCCTAAACCAGACAATACTCAGTCAATAAATGTTTCTTTAAAGTTTTAACTGAGACTTGTGTAACATTTGTTATCATTATTTTTATCATGTCCCAGATAGCAAAGGATGTTAATTAAATGTTGATGTATGGTCAACAAAGTTGATTTTTGGTTAAGGTCTATAATTTATGGTGACTCAACCATCAAACAATTATCCAATTCTAGCCATTAATCAATGTTGAAAAGATGTTTCTGAATCAATGTTGTTTCATGGTCAAATTCTAATGATTGAAATGCTAACATCTAATCAATGTTAAATCAATGTTTGTCACATCCTTCCTCCTCCTAGGAGGAGAAGGGGGAGGAGGAAAAGAGGTTGAATCAACATTGAAAGTTGTTGGTGAAAACCTAACAGTGTTTCAAAAAGTGAGTCACTAACCACTTTTTGTATAATTTCAACATAGGTGAAATTAGATGAATATTGATGCCTAACCGTATTCCAATGTTATTTCACTCATATTTTGCTATCTGGGGTTAATGGAGGAAGAAAATGCGGCATCAGCTTCAAGAATCCACCCCTCCATATAAATAAATTGGCTGCATGTATCTGTCTATTGGTTACTGATGTCAAAATAATCGGTATTGGCCTTCAAAAACCTGTTTCGGTTGATATTATTTTAACATTTTATTTTAACACATTCCTGAAGAMGTTACCTAAGAAATATTTATGACTCAAATATGTGAAAAGTAGATCATTCAAAAACAGTTTACATCCTTCTAGTTTAACACAGGATGTGGTGCTCAGTCATTTCTACAARAGACTAGTTTTCAGTAATGTCACTTTTACGTTGGTATCATGCTGAGTCATTGGTATCATGATGATCTTTTTTTCTTCCCCTGAATTCCAGCTTTCTTGGCATACGCCTTCATTAGGTTTCCAAAATGAACATCTAGCCCAGAAAAGAATATTGACTCCAAGTGGATTGTTGTGATCCTTTAGAACTCTGCATTTGTCTACAAAAAAAAATTAGACAAAACGCTGTTTGGTACTATGCCGTCACCTCTGGTACATGTTTGAAATAGCAATTTTGATTAGGAAACGTAAATGTGTAGTACGTGTTTTTATCTATACATGAGCTTCCTTCATCAGAAGGCCAACTAAGACTGAAATCCACATCAGTTTGAGTAACTCCTCAGAAGTCTGTCAATATGTAGTGTGACACATTGCATGCAGTGGGGATGTTCTTTTACACAAAGGATATTTTAAAGTAGAAGTCTAAAATAGTGGATCCACCTTACTGTTTTGTAACTTTGGTATTTCATGTGTTTTGCAACTATCACTCTTTGATGAGACTGTTAATATTTCCCTTTGACCTCCTTTTTTTCAGCAAACTGTACAAAAAGCTAAAACTGTCAGCAAAATCAAAGGAAGCACACATTTCTGTGATCACAGGARGTCAAATGACCCAACAAAGTTCCTTTTTTTGCTGTTGTGTAACTTTAAACTTAGCAAACCTTTCTCTCTAATGTTTTGCTACATTTGAACTTATTCATAYCTTTATGAGCTTTAAGTATATTTCTTTATTACAGCCTTTGTTTTATTCAACATYTTGTGTTGTAAAACAAAACAAGTTTTAGAAGAATAAGTCCCACATCAGTCTTCATACCCCAACTGGAAAGTGTCGCTAGAGAAATGAGCTCTGATCAGTGATGTTATGCATTTGTCTGTTTTAAATGCTTAAAAARTCTTTGCTCTGGTTCGCTCCAGGTGTTAAGACTGTGCAGCAGTTTTCTTAAACATTTACTTTTCAAAGTTTTAAAACAAGCTCTAAAGCCATCTCAAGGACTCTAAAATACTACAAAACCAAAGTTTACCTCACTGTCTGTAAAACTGAATTATAGCTATACTGACTTGAGTTCTTCACTTACCAAAGACAATTTTTAAAATGACTTATTAAAAAAACTCAGGTTATTATATTCATGATCACGTGACTACTCCGAATGAGGCCTTGTTACGTCACAGTGGTGTTGAACTGTTTCAACTAAAGACTTTTGYAAAGGACCTGATTCATGTGTAAGCRGTGTATTTTTAGAGGATGTGCCGACATGAAGGAGTCTTCACAACTGCAGAGGCAGCACCAAAGAAGAGCAACAAATTGAAACTTATCTCAGCTGAAATAATCTTATTTTAAAATAAAAATTATCTTTAAACCCCACCTACTGCAGGAGCATTTCCATTTTAATCCTTTTAAAATACTTTTTAGTTTCTAAATTTAGCCCATGAATTTAGCAAGTGCTAATCCACTAATGAATTTTGAAATTAACAAGATCCCTAAAGCACTAATCAGGAAATTAGTTCTCCTATTAGTGCTTTAGTGCTTTAGGGA